GGACTGTGGTGAGAGCTGTGATTCAGCTGGAGGAGACGCTCAGTAAACAGACAAAGAACATTTTTGAGGCTGAGCTGAAGAGGGTCCAGCAGTATGCAGTGGATGTGATACTGGATCCTGATATAGTCCATCCCACACCCACCCAGTCTAATCCTAGACAAAAGGTAAATGAGGATTTGGTCTGTAGATGTGTCTTATCAAAGCAGGGTTTCACTTCCGGAAGATTTTACTTTGAGGTTCAGGTTAGAAGGTGGTCTATGTGGACTTTAGGAGTGACCACCAAATCCAACATGAAGGGACGAATCACACTGAGCCCCAACAATGGTTTCTGGACTCTATGTTTGAGGCAGCGAGGATGGTACTTTGCTCCGGCTGACCCATCAGTTTGTCTCCCTCTGAAGTCTCAGCCTGAGAAGGTGGGGGTGTTTGTGGATTATGAGGAGGGTCTGGTCTCCTTTCATGACGTTGATACTGCAGCTCTCATCTACTCATTTACCGGCTGCTCCTTCACTGACACACTCCACCCATTCTTCAGTCCCTGTCTGAATGATGGTGTTAGAATCCACACCAGGGACATCAAGTGTTCAATAATATGAAAGTAAAATTATGAATCACTGGTAATCACTCATTCTTTGGTTTATTATTCGTTTTGATATTACCATGGGTTTTTCAGAACAGAGCTTCTACCTATATTTGCTGGAATTGGAGTAACTGAGGAATGTGAAAAATACAATGCCTTCCAGATGTTTGAATATGCCAGCATGTATATCTACCAATGTGGCATACATTACATTAGTGCCTGCTCAGTCAAAGAGGATTTTTCCCATTGGTCAATATTATGTTGTTTGTTGAGCAAATGGCCAATCATGTTCTAGTCTATTGTCTCTGGGAAATGCATAAAAGGTGAAATTTTGTCTTTCTTTTCTGAGATACATCATTTTGGCTCCTGTAAAGAATATGTGTCCCACTGAACACTGTATTTTTCTAATCCTCAACCCACCAGGGTCTTGTGTGCCTATTGTGTTCAGAGTGATTATCAGCAGTTTCTGTAACAATGACAACGAGTAGAAACATTAGATTTCATTAGAAAAAAAAATTCAGCGTCATATGACGTCCGATAAGATGGTATTCGTCTTTTTTATGCTATTTTAAACACTTTTCTATATCATATTCCTTCTGCTCCTTCTGTTGGAAATAATCTGTGATAACTGATCCTATGTAGTGCAGTCTAGTTGTCTCTATAAAGTAAAATCACTGCATTAAAAACTGTTAAAACATTAAAAGAATGTGGTGAAAAGAGATTTAGCTGAAATCCTTATATTTCTGGGTAATGAACTTAAACTATTGATGTTTGTATACGTAAAAGGTGTTGGATTCTCAAACAAAATCCAAAATGCTTTTTTTCTGATGTTGTCTCCAATAAATAAAACATAATTCCAGTGATGGTTTTTTGAGTCCTTTCTCAGTGTAGGGGGCAGAGTAAGATTTAAAGCTTTCCAATTTTTTTAAGGGGATTTTGGAGTCTGTTGATGAAAAGATAAAGTCATTTTTGTCTTTTCTTGCACTGACCTCTTTTAAAGTATATATTTTTGGGGCTTTTTATGCCTTTATTGGATAGCATAGTAGAGAGAGACAGGAAATGGGGAGGCAGAGAGAGGGGGAATGACATGCAGTGAAGGGCCGTCCGATGCGAGATTCGAACCGGGACTGACTGCAGCGAGGACTGTAGCCTCTACATACTGGGCGCCTGCTCAACCCACTGTGCCACTCGACGCCCCTGCACTGAATGCTTTTGTTATGTTCTACAGACTGTAACAGGCAGAAACAAAGGTCAACGGAAAGTAAAAATTAATCTTGCAAAGAGGGAATAAAATCTTGCTGACAGAGCTGCAATAAAAGATAAGGACAGTTTCAATGTTACATTTCTTTAAATGAAAGTGAAAGTATACATATATACAGTATACGTATATGCATAACATGATTTGAAGTAGAGGGTTTCCAGATCAGCCGAGGATTCCCCATATCTTACGTTTCATTATAATACGGATACATATCACTGCTTCTCATGCAAACATCCATGTTTGTTTTCTGTGTGTTTTTTATGTGCAGTCACACGACTATTTCACCAATAAAAACAAAATCATTTGAGTTGGATGTCGTCAGTTTATAGTTACAGTAACAAAGATCAACAAAAGTTTGAATCCATCTTGTTTCAAAGGTATAAAGAGTCAATAAAACCTCACCTACAGAGCTGCACTGAGGTGGAGCAACACTGACAGATAAGGAGAGCTTCAGTGTCTAGTGAAAGTTAGTTTGAGTATCAGGAGAGCTGCAGTTGAGACAAGTATCTGTTCTTCTTTCAAGAAAAACTAAACTGAATCCATCAGGTTTTTCGTAACAAAACAGCACAGTCGGATCCAAACACTGGTGAGTACAGCTGATGAGATTTATTGTGCTTCAATTGCTATTGACACAAACCTTAAAAGTTCCCACCCAAGGTTGAAACCAGGAGTCATTTTAAACTGAATCGGTGCGTGGGTGGGGCTGTGGAGGGAAACTGTGACAATTCCCTCTTTTCTTATCCAGATCTCAACTTTCTGTTTCTCTGTTCTCTGTGTCATCGTCCTCTCTCTGTACCTGCTCTTCCTCCTCTTTGTCCAAGCTGAATCCCTGATTTCACCAATGGTTGGAAAATAGTCTCAAACTCACAGGAGCTCAGTGTCTGTGAAGATCCTCAGTGATCCAGGTCGTGGCGTTTCTGAGGCTCTGCTAAGACCTGCATTAACATGTGTCTTCAGTGATTCAGTAAAATCTTTTCAGTTCATTATGAAACTGTGGCGAGACTAATGAGACTGTGGCAGAGAACGTCAGTAGAGTGGGCGGTCCTTTAATGTTGCCCAGGATGCATTTGTGTCCACACTGCTAAAAGCATGTGACACATGTGGCCCAGACCTCCTCCGAATGTGGTCTGAGTGATCGGATCTCACCAATGGTGACCCGGGTTTGTCCTTCGCTGTCGACCTCTTTCTTTTTCAGACTGTAATCCTTCCTCTGAACGTAGAGTTTCACCATCAGGAACTTTCCTTGGACGCTTCCTGTTTTCAGTCATACTCCTCCTTGCTGTAGACTACTTCCTCTCTGTTGCAATGGTTGCTCTTATTTTCATTGCTGGTTGACGTAAAATGCATCTCTAGCAGTAAAGGTACACTACCAATCTGTGTAAGCACTGATTGTGTCATAATTTCATTGACATGTGCCCTTTGTGTTTGCATTGTGTCGTTTTCTCAGTAAATTTAGTTCTCAGTTGTGTGAACACAGAATTCAGGATAAAGCTGCTTCCACTAATCACAGTTTGATATAATTAATAAAATCATTTAAAGATCTGAGATTACAACTTTATTTTTCTTTTGTTCACATTTTGTTCACAGTGTGTCGACATGTCTGCTGCCAGCTGTCTGCTGACTGAGGATCAGTTTCTGTGCTCCATCTGTCTGGATGTGTTCACTGATCCAGTCACCACACCATGTGGACACAACTTCTGTAACAAATGCATCACTGAACACTGGGATGTTAATGTCCAGTGCCAGTGTCCCACCTGTAAAAGACTTTACAACACAAGACTTGAGCTGGATGTGAACACTTTCATCTCTGAGATGACTGCTCAGTTCAGACAGTCAGTTCAACAGGAAACCAGCAGCAGCAGCTCAGAGCAACAAGCTGCCAAACCAGAAGAAGTTCCCTGTGACGTCTGCACTGGAACCAAACTAAACGCCCTGAAGTCCTGCCTGGTTTGTCGGGCCTCCTTCTGTGAGACTCACCTGGAGCCTCATCTGACCATGTCAGGCCTGAAAAGACATGAGCTGATCGACCCTGTGGAGAACCTGGAAGACAGAGTGTGTATGAATCACGATAAACTGCTGGAGCTGTTCTGTAAGACCGACCAGATGTGTGTCTGCATGCTCTGCACCTATTCAGACCACAAGTCTCATGATGTTGTTCCTCTGAAAGAAGAATATGAAGGAAAGAAGGCTGAGCTGAAGGAGACAGAGGCTGAAATTCAGCAGATGATCCAGAAGAGACGACTGAAGCTTCAGGAGATCAAACGCTCAGTGGAGCTCAGTAAAGAACGAGCAGACAGAGAAACAGCAGAAGGTGTTCAGGTCTTCACTGCTCTGAAGGAGTCTGTTGAGAGAGGCCAGGCTGAATTCATCAGGACGATCAAAGAGAAGCAGAGAACAAGAGAGAAACAGGCTGAAGACTTCATCAAAGAGCTGGAGCAGGAAATCTCTGAGCTGAAGAAGAGAAGCAGTGAGGTGGAGCAGCTCTCACTCTCTGAAGATCACCTCCACCTGATCCAAAGCTTCTCATCCCTGAACACTGCTCCACCCACCAAGGACTGGACAGAGGTCAGCTTCTGTCCTCCATCATATGAGTTGATTGTAAGGAGATCTGTGATTCAGCTGGAGCAGATGCTCAGTAAACAGATAAAGAAGGTGTTAGAGGCTGAGCTTAAGAAGGTCCAGCAGTATGCAGTGGATGTGATACTGGATCCTGATATAGTCCATCCCACACCCACCCAATCTAACGATGAACAACATGTAAAGGAGGGTGACAACTGTAGATGTATCTTGTCAGATCACAGCCTCACTTCAGGAAGATTTTACTTTGAGGTTCAGGTAAGACGGCGATCTATGTGGACGTTAGGAGTGGCCACCAAGTCCAACATGAAGAGACAAATCCCACTGAGCCCCAACAATGGTTTCTGGACTGTAAGTTTGGAGTACTTAGGTTGGTACTTTGCTGCTGCTGACCCACCAGTCCATTTGTCTCCAAAGTCAAAGCCTCAGAATGTGGGGGTGTTTGTGGATTATGAGGAAGGCCTAGTCTACTTTTATGACACTGATACTGCAGCTCTCATCTATTCCTTTACTGGCTGCTCCTTCACTGATAAACTCTACCCGTTCTTCAGTCCATGTCAGACTGATGGTGTTAAAATCCACACGGCTAGGGTACAGAGGGGTACATTGTTCAACCCGGTCTTGAGGCAGCGACTAGGGCTCAAATCCAGCCCAGACCCTTTGCTACATGGCATTCCCTCTCGCTCCTTGATCCTTTCCGTTCCAAATAATCTGTGATAATTGATCTAGTGTACTCTAATTGTTTCTATGGTGTACAATCACTATGTTGAAGTGTTAAAACATAACGAAAAAAAAACGTGGCAAAAAGAGAAGCTTTTACATATCTGGGTGGTAAAGTCAAAATGTTTATTGTATTATGTATAAAAAGTGTTGGATTCTCAAAGAAATGAATAACAGTCATCATGAATCCAACAGATTTTAGTCAAATGCTTTTGTCTCATGTTGTGGTAATTTTATTTAAAATAATAAAACCCAATGGAAAAATCTTTGATGGAGATATGGTCAGCTAATTCAGAACAGAGAAACAGGCTGAAGACTTCATCAAAGAGCTGGAGCAGGAAATCTCTGAGCTGAAGAAGAGAAGCAGTGAGGTGGAGCAGCTCTCACTCTCTGAAGATCACCTCCACCTGATCCAAAGCTTCTCATCCCTGAACACTGCTCCACCCACCAAGGACTGGCTGAAAGTTGATGTCCGTCCTCTGTCACACAAGGGGACTGTGGCAAGAGCTGTGATTCAGCTGGAGGAGATGCTCAGTAAACAGATGAAGAAGTTTTTTGAGGCTCAGCTGAAGAGGGTCCAGCAGTATGCAGTGGATGTGATACTGGATCCTGATATAGTCCATCCATCTACTCTTTTACTGGCTGCCCGTTCCGTGACGAACTCCACCCATTCTTTAGTCCCTGTGTTAATGAGAGTGGTTTGAGATCCTTTTTGCTTTTTTCAAATGCATGCATCTTATATTTACATTGAGTGAACATCGAGTGTTACTCCTCAGACAACATTGGGTGTGTCTTTGAACACAGACTGTGTTGAATGTATTACCATTCTCAAAACATTTGCAAATCCGACTGTGTAATTATTTTAGATTCTGCATGTTTACATTCATGTTAACTAGGAAGCAGTCTTCCTCTGTCTTGCTTTTGTTGGCACATTGCTATATTTCTTGACGCACCACCACCTCCTTCAGATCAACTGAACTGTGTGAAATCAATGGCATTAACATTGTGTCAGACACAGGGACCCACTCATAGCTCAGACTCTGAAGAGTGAACCTTTCAAATAGACATTGATATGGTTTATTTATGGCTATAATGTGCCACTTTTCCAATCATGAAAGTTTTTCTTTACATTACATTTTCTCATAACATGGCCCATTGCTTCTATCTTTTGCCTGAAGTCTGTGACAACTGATCCCCTGTAATGTAGTCTATTCTTTTATATAAAGTACCTTCACTATCTTAAAAATGTGGTGAAAAAATAAGCTTTTACAGAAATCACATGTCTGAGCGGGAAAGTCAAACCATCATTTTTTGTATGTATGAAAAGTGTTAGATTTTGGTACAAATGACTAAATCTCCTTTTATGAATCCCACAGAATTTAGTTAAATGTATTTTCTTACATTATGGTAATTTTATTGAAATAATTAAAATGAAATGGAGAAATCTGGGAGGGTTGTTCATCAGTTGATTCAGTTGTTTTGTCTCTCTTTAGAAATATACGTTTTCATGTATCATCACACAATTCAACTTTGTAAGCTTCTCTTGATTTAATTATATCACTCTGGGTACATGTAATATCTCCCAAAGTGCTGTTCTTACAACTGTTTTTACTGAGTCCTTTTCAGTGTATCTAATGTCAGATTATATGTGGTGTGAGATGATTTAATGTAATGTAAAGTTCTAGTTTTTGTTCAGTTGTGTTTCAACAGGTGATATGAAAACTTAAGCTGTGTTGGTCGAGAATAAGTGACAGCTGAGGACGCCCTCTAGTGGGGGTTATCACAAACTGCAGCTGGAGGTCACACGACACGCTGTGTATAAATAGAAAAAATGTAGAGTCATAACCGCATATCATAACTGAGCAACAGCTGCAGTTGACACAAGTCTGTTTTCTTTGAAGGAAAACTAAACTGAATCCATCAGGTTTTTCTCAACAAAACAGCAGAGTCGGATCCAAACACTGGTGAGTACAGCTGATGAGATTTATTGTGCTTCAACTGCTGTTGACACAAACCTTAAAAGTTCCCACCCAAGGTTGAAACCAGGAGTCATTTTAAACTGAATCGGTGCGTGGGTGGGGTTGTGGAGGGAAACTGTGACAATTCCCTCTTTTCTTATCCAGATTTCAACTTTCTGTTTCTTTTTTCTCTGTCTCATCATCCTCTCTCTGTACCTGCTCTTCCTCCTCTTTGTCCAAGCTGAATCCCTGATTTCACCAATGGTTGGAAAATAGTCTCAAACTCACAGGAGCTCAGTGTCTGTGAAGATCCTTAACATGTGTCTTCAGTGATCCGATCATAAGTCAGCTCTAAGCACTTCAGTTCACACCCGGCTTTAAAATACGTCCCCACATGTGTCTTGAGTGACCATGTGGTATGTGTTGTTGTTTTGGAGAGAGAGAGAAAGAGAGAGGGAGGGAGAGAGAGAGAGAGAGAGAGCAATCATGGTTGAGTGAATCAAAGCGCTGCTCCCGCTCTACAGTGAAATAAGGTTTTATCCAATTAAAATAGTAAAATATTTTCGGTTCATTATGAAACTGTAATGGGTGAGGTTTGGACCCAAAAGCAGCACTAGAACCGATGATTGGTAATGACTTTTATTGTTAGCAGAAGCAGGTAAATAAACACAGTTCAATTCAAAAGGGAATGGCAGTCTTTGAGGGGCTTGGGGAAAATCCGAGGGCCCAGAATGAAGCTGTGGATGAGGCAGCCGTACCAGGCAGAGGGTAGGTCGGAACCAGGCAGAGGAC